GTCTAGAAGTATTGAATAATATGTATGTACAAATGAATAAGTATCGAAAAATAAATAAATGCTAAATAGTAAACTTTAGTTCATTAATTTGATTTATTATGTATTTATAAATTTTATGAATTAATGTTTGATTTATTTTAAGAAATCTGAAATTTTGATTAATTTTAATTGTTATTCGGTATTCATATATTATTATGTTATCTATAGATGTTTGTGTACTTTTTTTATCTTATGGTACTTATTTTTGTTGCCTTTTGGTAATCTGTTTCATATTATTTATTCTATTTCATATATTTTCGTTGTTTTCTTTGTTATCTCTTTTATATAGCTGGGAATTTTATAAGTTTACATTGAATTGATAGAAACTTTCCATTTACCATTTTGTACTGTAATATAACTTTTCAGGAATTTCCAATATAAAATAGGAATATTTATAATTAATTATATTACTTTTTATTAATATTGTAACACTGGTAGTATAATTTTAAACAATATTTAGTTAAAACTTAATATGATTATTATAGTAATTACTATTCTGAGACTTGCAGAATCTTTAATTTATACACTTAATGAAAGCCAATAATTAATGAATACTGTGTACAATGCCATAAAGAACTTCCTACTTTAAAAATCAAAGCATAACATTTGTAAATTTCAGATATATAGTATCAATTAAAATGGCAATGCAATCTTTTATGCAGTGTTATATCAAAATTACAATCACTTGCAAAAACTTATCTGTGTGTGTGTTTAATGTTTAAACATTAATTTGTACAAGTTTTACACACGAAGGTAAACATTTTTAATGAAATATAAAATATTAAAGACACTAGTAAAGAGTTTAATGTAGTTGAAATATTCAAGAATATTTTATATTTATACAAATGATGATTTTCAAACATTTAATTTCTTTTCATCTCAAAAATATTTTATATACAAAGATTGTAGTATTGATTAAAAATTACTTTCATTAACTATCAAGCAATTAATCAATTTGATCTTTTTGTTTAATCTATAATTTTATTATTTGACAAATTTTATTCTGTTTCTTTTTTCCTTTTTGTTAAAATTTATCACTAATGATCTAATGAAATACTTAAATACAAAAATGCAGAAATATTATGAAACAATAAAAATTTATTATACCTAATATATAACCTGCCAAATATATTATACCTAATAAAAATTTATTATTCCAAAGTTTATTCTTTCTATCTTATATTAAATTTGTAAATTTACAATAACTTTATTAAACTTATCACGAATATTTCTTACACTTATGTTTTCAATTCTACAAAAAAGAAAATTTAAAAAAGTAGTTCAAATCTATTCAAATTTAAATCAAAATGTTTCTCTGAACAAACATTTATATCGCCAAATAAGATATACAAAAATGTTCTTATATAATTATAGATAAACACGTGTAAATTTTAAGTTACATAAATACCTATAAATTTTCAGTTGTCCAAATCATCTATTATTCATTGCTACCTACGCTTCTTTTCACCGCAATAACTTTCCACGAAGCTGAAATCCACCATACGCCGTGACACTGTTACACACAAAGCGATTCAAATTTACGCGCGAAACGAAACAAAGAGGGAACAATCGCGCAGTTTTCGCGTATAATACGACGACTGAGAGTGAAAAGGAAAGGTGATGGATAACGTTTGCATGTTACATGGAATATTTACGAGTGCAGACAGAGATGCATTTAGAAATAAAAGCGATGGAATGCAGGGAAAATACGTTTCTTTTGGGTCGAGCATCGATTATCGACTCGCCTCTAACCAATGGCTAGAAAACTACAGAAATATTAATATCGCTATTTGCTGCACTAAGTTTTACAGTTGTCAAACACTACAAAATAATTCTAACATAATTTTTAATGTTACAAAGAATTATAATATTATAACATATTAATACAGGAATAATGAACATTGTTCCTAAATTAATATTTTACTTCGATTATAATACCATCCACTTTTCGGTATTTTTATCTGTTAAAGTCTTAACAGAGATAACTTAACCTCTCAAGAAACATTGACACAAATATATGTATATATACTTAAGTACTTACGTATACATTTAGTTCTCTTTTAATTCTTTTTTAATTTTTTGACCTCATGTGTATTTAAGTACGTACAGTATATACTTACATACATTTATCATAGATATTTCGAGAATATTTTTTATTATTCTCTGCTTTGTTTAATATTTATGCATGTATTTTAAATGAATATAAGAAAAGAATGAAAAACAATTACCTTTAAAATTCGGGTCTGTAAAGAATTAAGTAGTAAATATAATAATATTTACAGCTATAGGTATAAATTATGACTATAGGTAATATATTTATTATTTATATAAATATTAAATATATATTATAATTTAATATATTATTAAAAATATATTATTATAATTTATATAAGTAATAAATATATTAATATTTCTTAAAAGAGACCCGAAATTAATTCTTTACTACTAATGAATATCTATTCTTCATTTATATTTAAATTATATTTAAACTTTTTAAATATTTTATATATTTTGTATAAAAATTTCTTATATACATATATTATTATTATTATCCTATATATATCATATCAACTATACATATTAATCATTAATGTTAATAATGTGTCAATCAGGAATAAATAATACTTAATACTTAACAAATATAATAATATAACAATATTACTATTAACCTAAAACTTTGAGAGGCAGCTTCAATTTTCAATACAATACTGCAAATAACAATTTCCATGTTATATTTGAGATTCCCCAATTGTTCTTACTATCAAACCATGTACAGAAAAATTTCTAATTGAAAATAATTAGAAATAAGATAAAATTTTAGCTAGAATAGTTTTAACGAAATATTCGTCATCATAATATTGAAAGAATTAACAAGATCAGTCACAAGATAACCAATACAAAACATAGATCATCCATCTCTAAAAATTCAAATTAATTGAATATATTCCCTCTTACCTGAATCATTTTCTTTCAACGAACTTCATTCACGTATGAATCGCTGATTCGCAGAAACTATGCATGCACGCTTCCGGGTTATACGAATAATAATTACCAATGCATTCGTATTCACTATCATAAGAATAACAATGAAAATATTAATATTAATTCAACACAAAAACATTCTTTAATTTGTTCTATCACTTACCCCCCTTTCTCACACAAGAACGCGAACGTGACTAAAAAATAGGTAAAAACTAAGAAAAATCCTAACCCCCAATTATTAAACCAATTACGAGTAAGGTCGAGTCAAGAAGAGTCTCTATGGGTCCTTGTAATCCAGGGTGGGATGAGTCTACGACCTGGTGGGGACTATTTCTATATAATCGACAGCGAAGGTGCCTGTCTCTTCATAATCCTATCAGTGAGCACGTTTCTTTAACCGTCGACCTCTTCATCCGTCCTGTTTTTATCCGAGAAAACCGGAAAAAGAAAGACAAGTGAGACAAGGTGAGTGTTTCGAACAGGGCATAAAACAAAGAAAAAATTATACCGCGTGTGGCTTGTATGGTTCTATTTTCTTCCATTTTGAGAATTCTTACGACTGTAGAGTCATCTACGGAATACCGATCACACCAGTGTTAAACGAGAGGGAAAAAAGAAAGATAGAACAAGTGCAATAAACTGTATGCGTATATATATGTGTGTGTATATATATATATATATATATATCAGCAGTATTGCAGACGCAACACTTCATGTTGTCGTATAATGAATAATAAAAATAAATTAATTCGATGAGATTAGAGATGTTTGGTGTATAAGTAGTAGGTTTTTGTTTTATTAGTTGTTGATAGAGTTGCTTAATATGATTACAGAAAGGAAAATGAAACTTTTATAAGTAATACAAATATTGTAGGTATTTAATAGTTTTTAAATATGATTCTCGTGAAGCAAAATTATAAGATAATTTGATGACGCTTAAAAAAGGGAAGTTCGTATTTTTCTTTTTTTTTTGCTATTGATTTTAACTATGTATATATTTAATATATGTGTAAAATGTTAGTACAGTTAGGATTAATATTTCAAGTGATAAATTTCTACGTAAATGAAAATTTAAAAATTTGTAGATTTTTATCAACTTTTGAAGCAAATTTACGAAAATATGATAATGTTATAATACTCGTTATTGATAATAACACTAATTTGTATGTTTTTAAAATATATTCAAAAGTTAGCATTAAATTCAATAACAACGAATCACTCTTCCTATTAAATATCAATTAACTAGTTAATGTTAACTATTATACTAAAACTAAATATATAGTTTAGTCCATTTCATATTCTTAATTAAACATCTTCATGTTAAATATAAAATAATAGATCGAAGAAAGATGTTATTTAAAAATATCTCAACAAAATTTAACCTGTTGTTTTATCTTACTTTTAAATGATTCTTTGCGATATAAAACATAAGAAGTATCATCAAACTATGGTTTCAAATTCGTTTTTTTCCAATCAATTTTGCAATTTCTTTCATCCTCTATTACGTAATTCTTACTTCACGTATTATCTCATTTTCCTGTGAGAAAGCGAAAAAGCGGCTCTCAATGCTTCGAAAATCATTACAATCGACTATAGAAGGCAACGTTCGATCGTTAGTCAGGTTTACAACGAAAAAATCCCTGTTGATTACTGGATCGTCACGCGACGTAACAGTTGGCACGTAAGACAGAAGCGATGTTGCTATCTATCCGCCAAAAGTGACGTGCAAACATTCGTCTTTGAGCGAAATTGGCACTCCCCAAGTGAAACTCTTGTTGACTTAAAGAAACTAAGCGTATATACGGAGTCACGATCTTATCTTCGCGTCAGTTTTAAACAGCGAAACTCTCACCGGTTTTTAGTCACGATGTGAACGACAATTGTATATGCTGACGACAAGCTGTTTTAAAATTATAATTAACTTTCCGTTGCTCAGTCCTTCGGTGTTCTAGGAATTAATTGACGATGATTCCAATCCGCAAAGATCATGTAATAAATTGTTTTGTGATTAATAAAGACGTGTCAGTTGAAGTAATTATATGTGTTAAGAAGGTTTGATTTCGATTTGCGTAAGTAATCAAAGATTCAGATTCAGTTTAGGTTAATTCATAGTAGATGTAATTTTTGAACATTTTTTTTTTATTTTACAGACAATTTACCTAGTTTCTCATGGATGTACTGTACGCATTAAATTGTTAGTTATGTACTGACATTTATTAAAGTATTTTTTAAAATGATATTCTTTTAATAAATAACTGTTTTTATTGTAGTTCCCGGCTTCTCATTTTGGTTAATCTTCGATTAAACGAAGAAATATTATATTGTTACGTATGTATGCCTGAAAATGTGTTCCGGGATAAAATAGAACCAGTAACAATATCACAGATTACAATTTAAGTAAACATTCAATACCATAATAATTTATGTAATTAAAGGAAATATTTTTCAATCCTATAAATTAAAAAATATTTTTTAAAAAGTAATTAAAAATTGAAATATTATGAAAGGTTTAACTCTACATCTTTAATATATTTTTTATATAATATTATGTGATTCACATAAAAAAACAATACATTTTAATTGTGACTCAAATTATATTCCAATACAATTCTTTAATTAAAAGTTTTAATAATTTAAATGAAAAATTTAATTTCTTTAAATAAAAAGACAAATGTTACTATATTCTTTACAAGTAATTATATTGATATTGTAAATTAATGACTTTATTGTATTTTATCGTTCTACCATACATAATTATATAAATTTAAATGTACTTTTTCCAGATGATGTTGGTGCCGCTGGCCGTCGTGCTTTTCGCGACGTTGGTGTACGCCCAACCAGCCATAAACGAAATTCGGCCACAAAGTAACAGACCAGGAAGATTCCTGTCTCTTCCTGTACCGCAAAAATGTGCAAACCGTGAGTAACCTTTTCATCTTGAAATTTTCAGATTCTCCAGTAGATAAATAATCTACATAAATGATGTTCAATAACATTTTTAAATCCGATATTTAATTTCGAAGTCAAACTTAACCTAAATCTGTCTTAAACTCAAATAAGAAATTCGATATTAATTATAAATGCTATTTATTTTTATAAAAACAATTTAATGCGATACTAAATAATTGATTAATTTTTTGTTGATTGTTAAATTAAAATTTTAAAAGTTAATTTTTATATAAGTGCAAACAAGAAGGTGATTGAACCATGCGCATAATTAAACATAATTAAACAATATTGTAACACTCTTAAGCAGAAATGCTCTATTACTAAATAATATACAGTATGCGATATTTCAGATTAACAAAATAGACAAAATATTTATGAAATATTTTGCAAAATTGTTTTTCACCAAAATACTATTCAATTGAAATCAATTCTAAAGTAACACTAATGCAACATTAGACTGTTCAAAATGTAGCTAAACCATTCTCAAATTAATTTATTTTTTAAATTAACCATAAACATGTCTAGAAATACGTAAAAAACAAAAAGAATTTTAAACAGCAATAACATAGTAAGAAGATTCTTAGAATGTCATAAATATGTTAGAATCCATAATTTCAGTTCTAAATTTCTACTATTATTTCTGTCAAAGTCTAACATATCTAATCACGATCTCAAAGCTAACACTATATCCGTGACAATGTTGGCGACGAATGAAACATAATCTTGTTCCGTGAATCCCGAGCATTTAGATGCTCCGGCACGTTCTCCCGGCAACTGAAAGAAATTGAGGTTAAAGCGGCCCAATACATGCCGACAAAACTCTCGCGCAATCTCACGATCGTACATTTTTCAGACTAAAGCAGCACTCTCTTGTGCAAACGCGCACCAGGGTATTCACTTCTAATTTTTCTCTCTGAACAGGTAATTCTCTATTTTCACCTTTACTTTGAGATTTGATTATTTATACTTAAATAATTAACTTAACCATACTTTTCTGTAGTGATTTAGATTTGTAGTTTGGAACATATGAAATAAATTTACAATAAAGATAAATATATGTTGATAAAGGAACATATTAAAATTGTAGTTTAGTCAGAAATTTTCTTCTTTTGTGTACTCAATTCTTTGAGATTTACGTTGATTTGATATATCCTTTTTAATTATTGCTATTTAAAATTATATTGTAGTTCTGTATGAGAAATTTTCTTGTATAATAAAACCTTTGAAATTTCTATTGATTTGGAATAGTCTTTCTTCTTGTTGGTATTTGAAATTACAGTCTGGTTAGAAATTTTGTACATGTAAAGTAATAATAATGTGATATGTAAAAAATTTGTCTTTTTGTTTAATCAATTTGAAACTTCCATTCATTTAGTGCAGTCTTTTTCTTTATTGACATCTTAAATATAATGTAATAATATAAAATCCATATTGATGGATTTATCATATTTAAAATATATGGATGATTATTATTAGTACGGGATCAATTTTTATTCCTCTTAATACAACTTGACATTTTCTATGTTATACCAATATCACAAGAGACATTTTCTAAGTAATCTTTAAACAAAATTATTACAAATTTTACTTAATTATACATATCTTCAAAAAATGTTCCTTTTTCCTATCTTCATTTTTCTATCTTCACTGAATAATTTTTTGCATCTATATAATAAACTAAAATATTTAAACAATTCTCTATAGTTTTGCTACATCAGCATTAGTCCTTTCATTTTCACAAATGCTGTGTGTGATGGTATTCTTTGATGGATAATTGCGTAGACTAAATGTGTATAAGACGTTGGGAAAGAGTAACAGGAATGTAGGATTAATTAAGAGTAATTTATCAACAAAGAAAGTGCAATTGAGGTTTACAACTGAGAATTTCTATTTCAAGATAGCTTTAATCATTTATTCAGTGATTGAAACCATAAAGATCATTGCTTGCACAAAATCAGGGTGCCAAGTAATGTGATAAGTCTTTATTTAGATGGGTCTATCATGGGTTAACCTACAATTGGTTGGTAGCTCGTTGTTAACAGGTCGAGGAACGCGAGAGTAGGATTTCGTCCCGTCTCGTTTGTATTCGATGCACTTTCTCACGGCTAGGATGCAAAATCAAGAAACCGGCAGACGTCTCGCAATAGGGCCGCGATAATTAGCGAGAGGACGTGTAACGAGATAAAGTTAAGGGAGAGACACCGATTCGGGGTCAACGAGAGCCGACGGGTTGGTTGTGTAATCTTGAACAGGATGTTTCGTCGGCTTTGTTTTGATCAGTTTCCTGCAAGTGATTTGTTCAACGCCAATTTGTACGAGATGTCGACATTCCTTTTTTAAATTATAATTTTCACAAATTATGTATTCCAAGTGTACTTATACAATATAGTGTCATAAACTTAGCTTTTTTTTAAGGGATTTGTATTATCTGTATTATCTATATTTTATTAGCTATGTTCTAAGATGATTTTTGCAAATGATTTATTATAAATGGAATGGTGTGAGGTTTTTTATTAGAGTAAAAATTTAGTTAGTTTTTAAAGTATATATATTAATTGTTTCTTGTTTTTTGTTATTTTATGGGTTTATGCTTTAGTTTTATTTTGAAGATTTTTTTACTAAAAACTTAATTCTACATAAAATTATACAATCTTTACCATCATACATGTAGACTTTTTTACTTATAGTCTTATCTTATAGAATCTTATTTAGTTTAATGCTAATTAATTTTTAGCTGAAGAAATATGAAGTATTTATTTTTCACTTTTTAAAGTAATCCTTACTCTTAATTTATTTCAAGAGATATTCAGTGGGAACTTATGCTTTTACTCCAAATAAAAAATCTACTGTAAGAATACATGATTTACTTTCTCTTAATCTTCATTTCTCATTCGTGTTTTAACAAGGAGGTCAGCTATATCCGATCATTTGACAATTTCTTATGCAAATTTTACAGTAAGCTTAACTTAAAAGAAATGTAAGACAATAAAATGTTTAAAAATAGGTATCAGTTTAATCAATTACTATGTTAAAAATTCATTAACTATATTTATAGAGTAATTATAATATTAAATTTTTCCTATTTTCTGTTACTGTTGTTTATAATAAAACTAGTAATATCCATAAACACGATATGTATTTAAAAAATAAGAAAGTAAATAATGAACAAATTTTCCATTAACTTTTCATCAATTTTCCAAATTTTTCTTGACAAACCATACATTTTTTGTTGTCCTATGAATAAAAATCACGTGGTATCTGATTACTGTGATGATCAAAAATCAGTTGTACTCGACCCATTTATCGCATCGTTTAGAATAATACCTCTTTAATATTTTATCAAACGAAGAAACAATTTACTGTTATTTCGTATTTTTATCATTTATATGTTATTTTTATTATACCTTTAAAAAAACATTTACAAATTGAAATTTACGTATGTACTCTTAAACTGTAATTGATATATATATATCGTATATATTAAATATTTCATATTTAATATTAATTTAATAAAAATATTAAATATCAAATATTAAATATATATAATGTAAAACATATTTATAGACACATGCCCGCCCCCCCCCCCTTCCTCCTACATACATACAAATGTTTTCTCTCAGATATATTTTTCTTAATACGTTTTCAATTTTCTAAAATGTTCGTTCAGTAATACATCTCATTTTTCTGGAATTTCCGTTTTACTACCATTTTAATAAGCGTCATGGCAAGTACATAGATTCTTAACAACGCTGAGTCAACATATTATGTTCCATTATTATACCGTTTAGAAAGAAAACAAGTCAATTATAGCATAGTTGCGTGAACATCGTTCTCCTGAACAAATTAATTCAACAAGATTTATGTTAATGACGTAACAGTAAAAAATGCTCGACTGGTATCTTGGTTGCTTAAGTTTTTACTTTTCCGACACCGTTGTTGTTTAATGTAAAAGTTAATATTTGTGTTTAATATTTCACAATAAGGAAATAAAATTGATAAATGTTTTTGTAATTATTTTGTTATGGAAATTGGATTGCCATTGTAGCAATAATAATTTGTCAGTGTCAATTAAATGATATGTTAGTTTACACAAATCAGAAAAATAAATTTAATATCAAAATAAATATATATTTTCTAAATTTAAAAAGTTTGGTATAAAAATAAATTAAAGGACAATATTTTACAACTTTTATAAAACTGCAAACTAATTCTTGTATTGTAAAAATTAATACAAAGTAAATTGTACACAATAATAGAGGATAATAAATCAGCGATAATAAATGTATGGTAAATATTAAAAATTATACAGTAAATATTAACTTTTGTAAAATTCCATTTCATTTTCAGATTATTGGTTTATTTCTGTCCTATTTAATATTCATAACTTGAAAGGAAGTCTCGATTATTTCTACTTTAAATTATAATGAATTTCATAGATCTTTAGCATGTATCATATGATAATTATAGCGTATCATTTACATACATAGTAACGAATATAAATTGTGTTTTTATTAATTGTTTCACAGAAATGATATAACATACTTGGTCTTCTAGTAATAAATTACATACTTACACCATCATAGGTGTAAAATTAAATAACTAAAACTTCAGTCAAACTTTATCCTGAAAATCTTAATCAAAATTATTCTAAAGAATTCCAATTTTTTTGAATTAATATTAATATTAATATAAATTATGATATTGAGCACAAAAATTATAAGCAACTTTGAGGTATTAATACTAAGATATATTATTTATAATTTATTTTTAATTTTAATT